ATCATGAAAAAAATGCATGTGCATATGTCCCATATAATGTGTGATGTATGAGTGAAGTTTGAACTTAATCGGTCCATGCATGTTCGAGATACAGGTGATCACGGACGCACGGACGCACGGACGCACGGACGCACACAGGGCAAAACATAAGTCCCCGTTTTCGGACTGCGTCCGAACGGGGACTAAAAACAAGAGTCAAGAACAAATGCATGATGATAATAAAAACAAGCCATACATGGCACAGTCCCCGTTAGTTATCAAATTTAAGACATAAAGTTTTGTTTATAGTAATATAGCTGGAATATAAACATGTCAGGAATATGATGATTGTTTAACATTTAAATGATTGACATTTGTATCTGATCGTCAAACGAGTATTGAGAGATATTGCTCTGGAACAGCATTAATTAAAACAAAATCAGCCATTATGAATATATGTATAATGAATATATGAAGTTTGAACATAGTCAGTCAAAGCATGTCAGAGATATGGCTCTAAAAGCCCATTCATTAAAACAAAATGGCCACGAGTCAGCCATTCAGAATCTGATCTAAAAATTAAAACAAGTTTTTTAGCACAAAAATAGCCACCATTAGGCAACTTTGAAAAGAATCGTCAAACCAATATATCCGTTTATCTGTGACATGATGTATAATGAATATTAAAAATTTGAACATAATCAGTCAAAACAAGTCAGACGTATGGGTCTGGAAACCCATTCATTAAAATAAAATGGCCACCGGACAGCCATTTTGAGTCTGATCTGAAAAATAAAATGACGTGCATCAGGAACCAGTAATGTCTAATGTATGTACCAAGTTTGAACGAAATCCATCCAGAAATGCTTGACATTTGATGATTTTTTAGCACAAAAATGACAACCATTCGGCCATTTTGAATTGGATCATCAAACCAATATATCTGTCTATCTATGACATGATGTATAATGAATATTTAAAATTTGAACATAATCAGTCAAAACAAGTTGGAAATATGGGTCTAGAAGTCCATTCATTGAATGTTATCTGAAAAACAAAATTATTTGCATCAAGGTTGCATAATGTCTAATGTATATATCAAGTTGGAACAAAATCCATCTGTAAACAGCCGAGAAATGCTTGATTTTTATGATTTTTTAGCACAAAAATGGCCGCCATTCGGCCATCTTGAATCAGATCGTAAAACAAAATGATGTTCATCAAGGTCCTACATGTATAATGTCCAACGTATATACAAGGTTTGAAAAAAATCCATCTGTAAACAGCCGGGAAATGCTTGATTTTGATGATTTTTAGTACAAAAATGGCCGCCATTCAGACATCTTGAATCAGATCGTGAAACAAATTGACGTGCATATGTATGATATCATGTATGATGTATGTGTGAAGTTTGATTGTGATTGGTCCAGGCATTTCTAAGATACAGGTCCAGACGCACGCATAGACGCACACACGCACGCACGCCGGACACACAGAGGTCAAAACATAAGTCCCTGTTTTCGGACTTCGTCTGAACGGGGACTAACAAAAACCAAAAGAATAAGCTGCGTACATACAGACTTAGTGCCCATAATTTAGATATTGAGAAAGGACAATACAAAAAAATTCCTTGCAGTGGTAGAATGTGCACTGCTTAATTGCGACCAAAATGAGATTGAAGACGAAATGCACATTTCTTACTTGAATGCAAGCTGTATGAAAATGAGAGAACTGAAATGTTGAAGGAAATAAATTTAATACATTGCAACAACACAAATACCAATAAATTGATTACAATGCTAACAAGCAATAACAGCCAAAAAATTACAAAACTAGCAAGCTACATCTATAATTGTTTCAGTGCCAGAGAAAATCATTTCTAAAAACTACCAGCTGTCCCTAAATAAATAAACTATTTTTTTTTTTATTATTATTCTTTTCAATTTTAGCGCTTTCAATTTTTTACTTCCTAAGTTTTTCATTTTTATTGTAATTTTCTTTTTCTGAGTCAATATCCAAATAAAAATACGATTATGCAATAAAGATTATTATTATTATTATTATACAATATGTGAAATTGTCAGTA